TTCCCTCTGGAAGTGGGATATTTTAATGCAGCATTCGAGTAGTTTTATGATTTCTTGTAAGGGTAGTTTTGTTCGTTGGTCTAAGGTAGTATTTGACTGTAACTGTTCTATTATAACTTTGAGAGATTTTTTTTATGGAAACATTGGTGTATAAGCTTTTAACACCAAAGCTGACTTGTTTCTCTGATGTGTCTAGATAGATGGTTTCCCCAAAATGTTTTAATTTTGTACGTAGAAAATTGTTTAGACGAATAATGGGATGTGTATTAGGAATTTTGATCATTGATATGTAGGGGACACTCTTGAGCTAAGTCTAAGCGTCATGCCAGTTTTGTAAATTTGAAAGCAGTTATATGTGTGGAAGTTTGCTATAGTGTGGTAATACCAGTGGCGGCTGGTGGAAGTTTGCTATAGGGTGGTAATACCACAGTGGTATTATGTTCAATATTTCTCGGTTTGTGAAACTTTATATTTCTTTAATGTTAGGTAGATTTTTGACTCGATGATCAATGTTGAAGTTTTATAGGAATTGCAGTTTTTAGTTCTGTTAGTGGATGTGTCCATTAATACAGTGGATTTGTCTGCTGGCAGTATTTTTATATTATTATTATTATTATTTGACTAAAGGGATTTCAAAGCTGCCTGTTTTTCTTTGTCGGTTTTGTTCTTTTGATCCCGTTTTTTCTTTATAACTGATTTTACTTTTTATTGTAATTTATGTATTATTGATTTGACGAAAGTGAAGAAATTTATTGTGTTCTTTTTCGATGTAGTAGCTACATACACGGTTCAATATCTTCATTCTTACTCTAATCATATCCAGTCGACCAAATTTAAAAACCATATTGATACTGTCAAAAGTGTATTTAACAAGAGAACCTTTATTTATAATTTGACATTACAAAGGATCTTACCATAAACGGATACGAAATGACCCATTAAAAATTCTCCATACAGAAAGTAAAGGGGAACTGGTTAAAGAAGAACCATCTCCAAGGTACAATCTAACAATTCCATACGAAAGAATTTGGGAAAATCAGAATAATGGCAAGTTGAAAAAAAAACAGGTTTTACTTCGAAAAACCGACACCAAAAACCTCATTTATTATGTCTCTTTCAAAAGGGTACATGCATATGTAGGTGAAATAAAAATGCCTGTAGCGGTGAGATATAAAGAATATAAAACACAAACTATAAAATAAAAAAAAGTCTTTCAAAGCAGAGTATGCATGGATAGATCATCACAACTTCCAAAAGAGGAAAACCCTCCATAAAGAAACCAACTGGATAGAATAAAGTTTCTTAAAACCGCATATTTCAACTAAAACAACAACATTTTTAGCAACCATCATAACGGTGTGGAAACCATTGTTACATAATATAAGCACAAATTCCAAAATATTTTTCTATTGTCACCTGAGGACGATTAAAGACTACTAATTAAAACGTGGTGAAATCAATATATTAAAGATGACGATACCTAAATACATCAAATCTACTAAGTAGTATCTACAGGGTGTCCCAGAACTCGCGCCACAGATAAAAGAATTACGTGCCGAAAGTTATGCGAAACATATACTTAAAAATTAAAATTATCTAATTGAATAAATTTGGTTTAGATAAACGATAAAATCACTAAACTGTTTAACAGCGATTAAATTTTAGCCTCCATATTGGATTTTTGTTTATGATTTTATGGGGTTATTTACAAGTTATAACATACATTTAAAAAAAAAACAATAAAAAATAAGTTATCTAGTTTACGAAATATCAATTATTAATTATTATATCCCTTTAAATTAATGGAATTTTGTTTAAAAAATTGTTCATAAATTTTGACAAATACGTCAGATTTTATTAATTGTCAAATAGTTTCCTTTAATTCGAGAAATAATCTAGACGTATATCACTCAACCTATAAATTAAATCTGTCAAACTATGCTATTTTACCCCCTTTCAGTTCTCCTACGTATCCCGCAAACTGCACAGCATTGCCTGTGTTTGTTGGATCCGAATTTTCACGCCGAGTGGTAGATCTCCCTTAGGAGGTCTTGGATAAGAATGTCGATGGTTAAGGCCATTCCCGGAATTTTGTCGCCGGGTCGGGTCATACGCCCAATTTATGCTAGTGAATTGCGTGACAAGGAGGGAAAACATTGGTTTTTGGAGGACATTAAACTGACCCAAAACTGGGTACTTTCCGGAATCCTCCTCAACCATTTAGTAATAGACCCATACAATTGGGGTTCATGAATGAGGCTTAGTAGTTAGTATGTTTCTAGGACCTATCCTTGCTGGTCTTGTAGTACTTTCCGTTCGTCTGCGTCCGTATCTGCTGAAAATTACCATTCTGAAAATTCGGGAACCGCTGTACGCCAATTGTCTGCCCCACTGTGCGAAACCATTTCTTTAGTAGAGGTCGAAAACTATCGACAGATAGTTTTAAGTAGTCGGTCATGTAACTGCCGATAGTTATCGATTGTTTTTTTAAATGTTTATTACCGCAGTAATATGAAATTTTCTAATAATTTCTAGTTATTGTGTTGCCGTGCTGGACGTTTTGTGATAGAAATTGTATTTTCGATTATTTAAAAAAAAAATTTAACAATAAGATATTGCATTTATTTATTAAGTTAAAGAAATGGTAAGCGCAATTATTCCATTATACAATTTTAGGCTTTAGGCTTTTGTACGATAGGGGGTGTTAAGTGGTTTATTTGTTTATGTTAGGCAATCACAAAATGGATTCGAGTGTTACCTACTTAAGATTTATGGGTTTTTAACTTTCAAGTCACGTGCTTTGGTCGGATATGCTTGTTTTTATTTTTAAGTTGCTTTGCTGTATATGCATATATAAAATACCTATAGGTATTTTTTGGTCTATTACGATATTGGTTTATTATTCCCTGTTCACCTATTTTGATGTTGTTTTTTTATTTAAATGTATTTTTGTTGTTCCTACGGATTTTTCTACTTGAGAAAGTGGAAACCTGGAGGTTTTATGGACTTGGTGAATTACGGAATTACAAGTTTTTAGTATTTCGAATAGCGTCGTGCAAATATTAATTAAATACGAGGTGTTTTCAGAATACAACGGAAATTTTCGTTTTTTGAAATAAGTATTTATTTATTCGTCTACATTAAAGTTGTCGCCTTCAAAATAGTCCCCATTAGATATTATGCATTTGTGCCAGCGCTTCTTCTAATCGTCTAAACTCTTCTCAAACACGATTTTTGGGATAGTCTTTAGTTCTTTCAGCGATGCGCTTTTAATGTCATTTATGCTTGCAAAACGACGGCCCTTTAAGGTTCTCTTTATTTTGGGGAATAGGAAAAAGTCAGACGGAGCCATGTCTGACGAATATGTAGGCTGGGGCATCATTACAGTATTGTTTTTGGCAAAAAATTGTTTAAAATTCAACAATTTTGGAACAAATTTTGCTGCCATGGCACGCGTTTCATACCCAAAACATTCGAAAAAATGTCATCGATATGCCAACATCATCAGCGACTTCTCTGATTGTGATTCGGTGATCGTTCATAACCATTTCTTTAATTTTTTACATGTTTTTATCGGTTGTTAATGTGCTTGGGCGGGGTTAGGGTCAAAATCCTGACAATCAAAATCCCGACAGTTAGAATCCCGACAGACGAAATCCCGACAGATCAAAATCCCGACAGATCAAAATCCCGACAAGTTAGAATCCCGACAGATTAAAATCCCGACAAGTTAAAATCCCGACAGGTGATATTCCCGACATATATTGAAAAAACAAGAACAAATCAAAACTTTTAAAATGTTTTTTCAAATTATAAAAAAATACTTGATTTTTATTTAATTTCCAAAATGCAATTATTTTCTTTTTACCTTAAAAGTATTTTTAGCTTATTACTTTATCTTAAGGCTTAAGGTATTAATTGCAAAAATAAATATTTTTAGGTATATTTTTGTGCAAAAGGTAACAAAAATATCCTTAAAAAGTTAAACTTCAAAGCCTAAACAAGCAACAATTGATAGGGAAAAAAGGATTCTACACGTAATGGAAAATCGGACTAATTTGACCTTATTACAATACCTGCGGGGTAAATATGTACTAATTTATAATAAATATTAATTTATATGATATCTATTTTATTTATTTCCCTTATATATAAAAAAGTTGAATTTGTCGGGAATTTAACTTGCCGGGATTTTAACTTGTCGGGATTTTAACTTGTCGGGATTTTAACTTGTCGGGATTTTGACCTGTCGGGATTTCGTCTGTCGGGATCCTAACTGTCGGGATTTTGATTGTCGGGATTTTGACCGGCACCCGCTTGGGCGTCATCTTCAACGTCTTTACGGCCATCTTGGAAACTCATATATCACTTATAAACTCTTGTTTTACAAATAGCAGACTCACCATAGGCCTTTCTTAACATTTAACACACTTTATTTCATTTTTACGCAAAATTTGATACAAATTCTTTGATTCATTTCTTTTAACGAACGAAAATCGCCGAGCTCATAAAAACACGTCTAACCTTAGCGGCTGCCACAGACAAAGTAAACAATGAAAACATTTAAAATTTTTATCATTATTCAGGGGTATTTAAACCAACATAGTATAGACAATTTTATGACAACCGGACTCTCCAAACCCGCGAAATTTAAAAATTCCCGTTTTTTTCTTATCAAACCCCAAACTTATCCGAATTTTGCGTATAATTATTGAAGTAGATTTATTTTTTAAATTAAATGCCACATTTAAACCGACTTGTTGCAAGTCCCATAAAAACTATTGGGAACCAAATTTATCGTTTAACAGAAACACGCAATGTTCTCAGATTTAAATTCTTTGGTTACCGTATCTAAAGAAGTATTGCAAATTTTAACCATTTATCCATATGACATAAATATACTTTTTCTGTAATTAAATAAATGGTAATACATTACATTACATTTATTTTAATACATTGCATTTCCAAAAATAATTTTTTTAATTTTAATTCGGTTACAGACCAACAAGAAATAACACCGTCTCGTAGACAAACGAATACAACAGAGTTAGATAACCCGAGGACCTGGTTGGCTTTATCCGTTCTGGAGCTAACGATATCCAAAGAAAATCATGGAAGGATGCTTCGCTGCGTAGCCGTTCACGAATCCTATTCTACAAAGTCAAGCAGCATAGAAGTGCGCCTAGATGTCATGTGTAAGTAAATAATAATAATATTTTGTGACTTGTTTTGCTGACCGTTCTAAATGCAAATTTTATTTTACGTAAAACCTAGACGTGACGTTTAAGTGAAAAAGTTTTCGCATTATTTGAAAACAGTAAATTTTTCTGCTTACATTTGCCTTTATCTTTCAATAATAAAAGTGAGTACGAAGTCACATACAGCATAAGTTGGTTAAATTTATTTTCTAGAATAAAGCTGAATTGACAGGAACTTACATCTAGAATTGAATATGTTACATTATAAACTATATTGCATTTTTATGAGTTTTTTATTAAATTTTTAAGATTTTTTTTTCATACACGAAATATGCAATTACCTGTACTGTCATCTTTCCAAAATATTCAGATATTTGAAATTTATCGAATACAACCTTCATAAAGCAGGAATTTTATTTTAGCTTAACGTGTTCAGGTTTTAAAATATTGGTATAACTTATATGGAGAACAATAAATTGAAAATAAAAAGGAATGGTATTGCAATTTCCAATCTACAAATGATAAAAGTATTGTTTATCTAAAACGAAAAATTTGATATATTTATTTTATTATTTGCAGCATACTAAAGCTATATATGTTTTCCATGCAATTTGTATCGATTACTGAAAAATATTAGATCTCTTGAAACAAATAAATCATTTCCATACTAGAAAATAAAGTTTCTTTATACATATACATATAAATATAATCATAAATTTATTATTAAGTTTTTCGTAAACATCCATACTTTAGTGTTGCATAAATAATTGCTTATGGATAATTTGTACTCTGATGATTTATTTGGGTAGATAAGAGTTTATAACAATTTATAAATAAATTTAATTTTTGTTTAAAAACAAATAATTTTTAAGTTAAATATTCGAAATGTTGCCTTTTTTTAAATTTTAAGTCGCCTATGTATTACTTGTGTTATTAAACGTCAATTTTTTTAATTAACTTAATAGACCTATTTTTATTATATTTTTTTAATTTTCCGAGTTAAAATAATAATACAAAAATGTAAATTTTTTTAATTTTTAGTGTGCAACTTTGTTGTTTTTTTATAACCTAGTACCTACTCAAAATATAATTATTTCATGGTTTTATGCAGTGTTGGTCACTTTAAAAATCCCTAATCTTGGTTAAAAAAATCCCTAGTATTAACGTATAAGTATACAAAAGAGTATAAATTAACTGTTAATAAACTAAAAGAAAACACAATTAAATAAAATTTTAAAATGAGTGATTAAAAAATTTCGACAGTCGTAAAATATCCGTAGAACTAGGAAAAAAAAGTTGGAACACTATGTTAGTATAGGTATGGCCGGCACACATTAAAAACCACATTTCTGACCAGAAAATTTAAATATGAAGTAAATATTAAGTAAGGGGTATAAAAGCAAACCCAACAATCTCCATTTTACACAAAATCGTAAAAAATACATTAAGTTTTTAACTTGGGAATCTGTATTACCTGCGCGCCAGTCAAAATGTCAAATTTCTATGTGTAAATCGAAATTTATTCCTTGAAAATGGACTGAATTAAATCTGATATAGAAGCAGTTTTTCATAGTGAAAGCAATGAGAATCTTTTATGGGCACTTCACGGTGGAGTCCCCCCAAAATGTTTATTGCTTTCAGTTTAACCTAGTTTACTGTAGGTGAAATGAAAAGGTCAGTACAAACTTGTATAAAAACTTTTTAAATGGGTATTGGCGTTAAGAAACTATTTAACACATTTTGGTTAATGGAATAAGATAATTTTCACATTATTATTTCACAAGAAGGGCACTTTATTTTAACGATTGTATGCCATTTGACAACTGTCAACTAACAAAAATAACTTCAGCAAGTGACTAAAACGCCATAAAGCCACAACTTGTCAATGTGTATTTAAAAGACCACTTAGTGTCATGGAAACATGTACGATAATGGGCGATTTAATGGTGGGAGTGGAAAAAATAAATTATTTTGAAAATAAAAAACTTTTTACAAAGAATCAGACTGAAAAACATCAACTACTTTGATAAAATATTAAATTTATAAGCGAAATTTGAGGTATGTCAATTTACAATTATTAACCTAAATAAAACTCTTTATAAGACTGTAGAAAAAAATTTGAACGAAGTTATACCAACTTTTACTATTAAATAGATATACTTTCAGAAAAACAATTTATTCCGGTTTAAAATTTTGTGTTGCACTGTTTTATTAATAAACGAGGGACAGTTGATAAACTTTCCGATTTTTCAGTTCGTTTTCCATACCTCCGTTTTCGCGCTACGGGTTTAAATAGAGCGTAAAAAATTCGGTTAGCTGCCAAAGGATTTGCTTAATTAAATACAAAATTGGACTTTTTGTATTCTTAATCTGGTTGGATTAGACCTAAATCAATATTTTGTTTACCCTAAAAAGATAATTTATTTCTTTTCATAAAAGTAAATTTAATTTACTGAATTTAAATTAAGTGTTATTCTTAATAGGCGCAAGTATGCTAAATTATACGCAAATTTAAAAATGACAAAGTTTCTCTAGTCAGTTTAATAACATTTGCTATAGAAATGGTAATCTTGCAAGATAGTAGTACATGTACGTATGTTTAGTATTAGGGAATAAATGATTAAAAACCAAGGAGGTCGTAACTTATTTTTAAGGTTTTAGGTTTGTTCAGAAAATAACGGGAATTTTCGTTTTTAGAAAAAGATATTTATTTATTCGTCTACATTAAAGTTCGCCTTTAAAATAGTCCCCATTAGATATTATGCACTTGTTCCAGCGCTTCTTCTAATTCTCTAAATTCTTTTTAAACACGATCTTTGGGATAGTCTTTAGTTCTTTCAGCGATGCGCTTTTAATATCATTTATGCTTGCAAAACGAGAGCCCTTTAAGGTTCTCTTTATTTTGGGGAATAGGAAAAAGTCAGGCGGAGCCATGTCTGGCGAATATGTAGACTGGGGCATAATTACAGTATTGTTTTTGGCAAAAAATTGTTTTTAAAATTCAACAATTTTGGAACAAAAACAATAAAAAAAATTCATGGTATAAGCCAATCGATATGCCACAACATCTTCAGCAACTTCTCTGACTGTGATTCGGTGATCGTTCATTTCTTCCACTTCTTCCATGTTTTTATCGGTTGTTAATGTGCTTGGGCGTCCGGGGCGTTCGTCATCTTCAACGTCTTTACGGCCATCTTGGAAACTCTTATATCACTTATAAACTCTTGTTTTACTCATAGCAGACTCACCATATGCCTTTGTTAACATTTCAAACACTTTATTTGATACAAATTCTTTGATTCATTTCACCGGCCTCGGTGGTGTAGTGGTTAGAGCTCCTGGGTACTTTTTAACATCACCATTCTTTTTTCCGTAAATTTTTCTAGACTTTATTCTTCTACCCGGATAAAGCTGGCCTCACATTCGCTCTGCGAGAAAAGGCCAGACAAGCTCCATGCTAATAAAAAGGGCTAATACAAGGGACAAAGACCGTCGGAAGACTGCGCTGCTACCACCCGTACCACGCATCTTCACCGCAGGGAGGCTCACGAGTTGGAACCATATTTCTACGCGCCTCTTTACAGCCAACCACATCACCACATTGCGGCCTTTTATTATATACCCTTTTTATGACTTGTAATTATTTTAATTTAGAAATATATTGATTTTGATTTTGATTTTTTGATTTTTGCTCCTGGGTACGAGCCGAGAGGTCGTGGGTTCGAATCCCACTTGGGTATGGTTGTTTATTTGTGTTTGTCCATTGTGTATAGTCCTTCGGAGGGGACTTTAAGCTTAATTTTCATGTATCCGTTTGTCCGTCAGTCCGTTCATCCGGGAGCGCTCTTATTGGTCCAATTATAATTCAAAATTATGACATTTTATCTGTCCGTCAAGTTTCAACTTCGTACGTCTGACAGAGAAGGGTTAAATAATTTTAACTCATCCGTCACTACACATCTGTTTTTGACGCCTAACGTTATTTTAAGATAATTTATTTTCATATATTTTTATATTTTTTCAATAAGATTGTAAAACGGAAATATTACGTTCGTTATGTAAATAATGTTTTACTGTAAGTTTTTATTTAATAAGAATAACGGAAAAAAAGAAAGGACAAACAAAAAAATTAAAACTAGAACTAAAAGGACCTGCTTTTTTAAAACTATACATTTTAATGTATATTAGGGCTAGTATATTCTTTTTATAAGGTATATTTACCTACCTTTAAATTTTTATTAGACAGCTAACTGTTAAAGTTACAATTGTTGACATAATTGTAACTATGACAATTAAGCATTAGGTAAATTTAGTATATATTGTAGTTATACTGACACTTAATTTATATTTGTCGCAAAATCAGTCCGTTAAACGTCATTAAAAAACGTATGCATGAAAATTAGAACATTTCTTATCGGACGATTTTATTGAAAAACTGACATACGGATGACGGACAAACGGATACATGAAAATTAAGCTTTAAGCCGTCGGTCCGTTCCTACCCCTAACCCGCACAAGCCATTCAGTTGGCTTATGGGACATCTTAGTTTGGATGTAAGGGTGGAACTAAAAGAGCACTTTATAACTTTATAACTTTATTTCTTTTCACGAACGAAAATCGCCGAGCTCATAAAACACGTCTAACCTTAGCGGCTGCCACAGACAAAGTAAACAATGAAAACATATAAAATTTTTATCATTCTTCAGGGGTATGTATACCAACATAATAAAGACAATTTTATGACAACCGGACTCTCCAAATCCGCGAAATTTAGAAATTTCCGTTATTTTCTGAACACACCTCGTAGGTACAGTCACTGTACTACAGTGTGTCTACTTAAGTTCGCAACATATGAAAAACTTTCTTATTATTAATTTTACGAAGGAAAGTTATTCTTTATAAAAAGTTCTACATGTTCTAAAATCTAAAATAAAATGTTCAGTATAGTCATATACGAGGTTTGACAAAAAATATGAATTTGGTACAAGAGTTCTTT